TGAGATTTTTTTGAATAGCGTAAGGAGGGGTCAGTGTGTGCGCAGTGGGGGGGAAATCACTTAGTTCTACTCAGGTACTAGGTTCTTTCTGAACAGTAGCTGGTTTTGTTCAGGCTTTTCTGTATTCTCAGTTGTTTATGGAACATTATCTTCATTTTCAGAACAGGACTGAGTAAATAATTATCCAGCTTACTCTGAGTATATGCCACACACACACCCTGTTATACACAATACTGTGCACTTCAGGTATATAGGAGATTGGTGCCAGGAGACTAGAAAGACAAAACCCTAGAGTACACTTGTAGAGAAATCTGCAAGCTAATTTTTTCTGTGATTAGATTGGTTTAAGAAGAGTAAGACAAAGAAAGGATGTTAAAGTACTCAAGACATTCCAATCAATGTGTCTGATCTTCTAAAAATGAAGCAGCCCCTTAAATCTTTGAACACCAAAAAAATCTGAATTAATAAAAACAATAATGAAACTATAAAGTTTGTATAATTAAGTCTTTCCTGATTACTGTATTGTTTATTCCATTCTACTTCCTCCATACCGAATACCCAGCGACATCATCTTATTACCTATTGTAGCTGCAATTACCAACACAGTAATAGCTATGGGAATCAAGCTATATAGTAGTTTATGAGATCAGTAGACTGACAGCAAGTGCTTTAGTTAAGGCAAAAGAGAAGAATTCTACAGACAGCCAATCTTGTTAATTTCCTACTGCAGTAAGACACATGAAAAGCATTCAGCTAACAAAACAATTCAAATCATGATTTAATTTCATTATGGCCAGGATCCAAATAAGCTCTTAAGCATGTGTATAACTTTAAGCACGTGAAGGCAATAGGACCACTAGTGCTTAAGTTATGCACAAGCTTGAGGTTGAGTGCTTTGCTGGGTCAGAGTCTATGAGAATAACTGCCTTTACTGCAAATATGCTGCAAGAGTCCAATGCAAAATGTCTACAAATTTGACCCACTCATTTAATGAGTGTCTTTGACTACTCATTTAATAAGTATTGTGACACATGTGGGAGATAGCAAGTTATATTCGTCTGAGACACTTGCAGTGCCTAGTCATAAATGGAATGAGCTGCAGTACAGACAGAGTGCAAGCCATAATTGTCATTTTTCCATTTTTATTTTTTGTCACTACCTTAATACTGAAACCAGTCATTATTTCCTTCAGGTTTTTAAAAAACTTTTTTCCCCAAAAGAACCTCTCTCTTATGGAAGTGATTATGAGAAACAGACAGCAAAAATCTTTTGGGGAGTGGTTCTGATCTTTTCTTAAATGCACATATATATTTAAATATTGACAATGTGCAAAATATGTATTCACCCATTAGCTCGGTTGCTTCTATAAGGGCCCAGTCCTGCTCCCACTGAAGTCTGATCCAAGTTTTGCTATTGGATTTTTACTTCTGTGCAAACTTGATAGGCCCTTACATGAAACTACAGTGCGTCATGCATTTAGAAAGGTAAGAAAAGGCCTAAACAAATGCAGTTCTGTTCAAAGGAAACCAACTACCTGTTCAAATCTAGCTGCAGTTTTCTCCAACCCTTTCTCAGCTGTATAAAACATTTCAGCTCAGTCCCTTGAAGTTGCAATTAAACTGTAGTAATTTAAGATTATCATAAGAGCAAAGGGCAGCAAAAGCTCTTCATGAGACCTCTCACCACTTAATGCTAAGTCTTGGGGTTAAATGAGCTTCTTTAGTATAAGTACCTTAACCCAACTGAATCGTAAACAAAATTTATACTATTTTCTGACAGCATATGATCTATCCACATTTTATTAAAGCATCTCTGAGAAAAATGTAGAAAGACAAAAGCACCATCACAAAAAATAAATAACTGGACAGACTTGCTGAAATAACCATATTATAAATATACATTCTACATGAGTGCACATGTTCTATAATTTTACATATAACACACATCAGAAAAATATTTCATGAAGCAATTACATTGTCATCCAATTCAAACAATCAATATAAATGGCCACAAGCTATAAGAATATTAAATACTTAACTGTATTCCATGAAAAAGCTTGCTGTTTATGACCAAACTTTCCCTTAATTTTTACAATAGCATGAAACAAAATGGATTTGAGAGGCTTACATGCTTACAGTATTCTCATAATAATGATGTTAGTGCAAATTTAAACTTGGTTGAACAACGATCTTCCCTAATAAAACAGCATTATGCCACATTTGAAACACGACAGTGTTGAATGTACAATTCTTCACTTAACTCTTTTTCCTTCTCTTACCAGTATAAAAACCAGCTGGGTTACTATTACTATTCCTGGTGGAAATGATTTAAGGAGAAAATGTTTATAGCTGTTAAAAAACATTACATATTACCCAAAATGGCTTAATAGCATACATGTGTATGTTTAACATGCATACTTTAATTAGACAATAAAAAGTATATGCTATAAAAAACTACTGGCTTTGCAATAAGTTGTGCAGCATGGTGATGAAACCTTGGCTTATAAAAAAAAGTATAAAAGCACTTATTGTGTGTCTGTACTGCTAATTAAAGAAATACTTAAGTGACAGAGGTTTTTTTTTACCATGCAATACATGTTTACTTGTTGTTTCCTGTGTACATTAACATAGCAGCTTTTTACTTAAGAATTTGAAAATCTCTATTTCCATTGTTTTAGGATATTTTATAGCAAGAAACTAGGTGGTGAATAACATTTGCAGCGTTTACACTGAAGTGTTAGAAGAGGAGTACAGAATCCTACAAAAGGTTTAAAGGAATATAAATAATCTAATTTGATTAGTTGATACTTCTGTTTTAACTTTGAGAAAATCATAATACTCTACGCTAACATTTGGTACTACTATTTTCTTTAAACAAAAGTATAGTAATTAAGTTTATATAAAGTAGACTCAAAGGGACATAACAAAAACATTTTTGTAAAAATCAGGAGATGGCCAAAACATGAAACCTCATTGTTTGATGCTATATTTAGAAAATTACCTTTTTGTTTTCTAAATTCCAAGAACCGAGTGAAACCAAAAATAAGGCAAAAAATAACGAAATTGTTCTAGTCCACATCTGAACAACACCTTTGCACACGCACGCTTCACTTCCTGACAATTCAGAGATTCTAAAACTTCAGAGGTGAACTTAATAAAACTTTAATTATTTTGCTAACATGATATTAGTGAACTTCTCTATAATTCTAGGTAGCATAAATAAAATCAAACTGTAAATCAATGTAAAACTGAATACATCAGTCCCAAAGACTGATTAATTAACTCAATCTGCAAGTCAGAATTTGAAGAGGTAGAAAAACACTGAATTGAAATACTATAGATGTTTTTCTCAAAGTTATCTTTTGATTTCACAACAAAGATCAGCATTTGTAATGGTCCATTTCTGGATAAGTGAACATATAACCTTGCTGCCTGATCAAATAGTCCAGAGCTTTCAGTGAGGCAGCTCCTGACAACAGCCCAGCAGCAGATTTGTTTGATCTCTACTGCCTTCCTTAATCTGGGTTGTCAAGGTTCACTTGTTGGAGGCTGTTTACTTTACTTTTTTCAAAAAAGCAATTTTTTTTTTCTCTCTCTCTCATACAATGACTAATCCAAAGACTAAGGGGAAAGAATGCTGCCAATGCAAGATGTTAAAGCTACAATACCTTTTTGGAATGAGATTTTAGCTGACACCTTTTGAATGGTGACTAGTGGAGATTCGTCTCCCACCCATCACCCCCATTTCATTCTCTATAATTGTGCAATAGTTCAAATAAAATTTGGGGCAGGGAGGGGGATTTAGAACAGAGAACTTGAAACCAAAAGTCCAAGTTTCCCCTCCTTCCCTTGATCCCCTCAATCTGGTTTCAAAGATGCATAATACACTTCTTCTTGAAATCCACTTTGTTCTTGTAGAACTCAAAATATTTGAAAACCTCTCATGCTTAACATTGAAGAAAAACACAGGATTTGCCTTCTCAATCAGATAAATTGTAAAATACTATTAAGTACTTCAAACATCAACTTCTGTCCCCCAACAAAATTAAACCAAAGACAACTACTACCTTAAGGAGTACCAGAAGTACATTTCTTGAAAGACATACTTACAAGTAACTAGCTGCCTAGTTAAGAGAATGTAATTAGCTACACTGATGTTTTATAGGTCAGATAACCAAAGCAAATGCATAAGAACAGAGAAAGCTAAATTTAAAGCAAGTGTGATTTACATATTTTTTTAAAAATATGTATAATTATTCAATACTCAAGGATTCAGAATCATCTACTGTACAGACACACTGTGCAAATACTGTACACATTACTCATTCACAGAACAGTTACTAAAAGTGAAACCCTAAACTTCTGATAGGATAGGACAGATCAAGCCAGAACTCTCTATAGAAGTAGAATTCAGAAGCTCTTGTAGCCATTAAATGAAATGCTCGGTAGGAGTATGATGTCTGAAGAGTTGACACTGACAGTCATATTGTTTTTAATAAGTGCCATTTTAGGAGTTTTTTGGTTCACTAAAAGCAAAATTTTAAGACCAATGCCTAGAATGAAGGCAGGCTAAAATCAATACACTTTGTAATCAGCCCAGCAATGGCATTTAAACACAATGAGTTGGAAATAATTAATAGTTATAAAGTGGGATGGGGAGGGAAAGGAGGCATGTCACTGTATTTTATAGCAACACTTATACTGTTAGCTCAACTCTGATCCCATGTTTTCTTGTAAAAAAAAAAAAAAAAAAAAGACAACTCCATGTTTAATACAACCTGCAGCATGTACTTTCCCCCCTTCGGTTTCACTGACCTGACATAAACTTTTCAGCCTGTAGCTTTTGTAAGCTGATCTGTACCTTTTAGGATAGATGTTCCCCTGGTTTCTCTTTATTTGGGAGTTTGCTTTTGGAGTGGGGAAGTGTGTGTGGCGGGGTGGGGTGGGGGTGTCCTTTATATCCTTATATGTAAAAGCCTCCGCCGATTTTCCTATACTTACCGGGAGATAGCAGTGAGAAAGGCTCTGAGCGAATGATCGCCAGTACACAGCTCCTCAGCAAAGGGTGGTGCTGCTCCGGCAGGCAAAACTTTGGGCTCTACGGTCGAGAAGAAACCAGGGGTTCTTTCAACAAGTCTCCAGAAGGCAGGTTTGGTAAGGGGGAGGGGAAGGGGGAAGAGATGTGCTGTGTTTGGGGGGGGGGGGGAGAAACGAGGAGCCTTGACACACTTGCAAGAAACGGGATCAGGAACTAGATCTAAGGACTTCGTGGTAGTAACAGGGTCTAAAAATCTCCCTTCATCACCATTCAACGGGGATCTGCGCTTGCAAGAGTTGCGCCACGGGGCAAGTGGCAGGGTTGGGTCTAGAGCTGCAAATGTTTATTCAAACACTTCATCTCCGAAAAAGGGGGGGCTGGGGGTGGGCAGGCTGGCGACGATGCTGTGTGTGTGTTACACTGGCGGGGGGACACGGCAATGCCGGCGCAGAGTCCTCTGGGCTGAGTGCTCGGGAAGCGACAACAGGTGGTCCTGGATGCGGAGGGCGAGAGGCCGGACTTGCTCTCTCATTAGCCTGGGGGGGAGTAGCAGGGGAGATCACGGTCCCCGCTGCGCTGGGGGAAGAGGACAGCCCCTGGCCGCCAGCTTCTCCGCACCCTGCCTGCAACTGCGCCGCCCGGGCGCCCCTCCAGCCAGAGCCCCCCAGCTCCCCCACCGCGGGGCAGGGATCGTGCCCGCCCCAATCCCGGGGACGCTCAGCGGCGCGGCCAGCCCCCCGGCGTGCGCGCGGGCTGGGGGGTGTTGGGGAGAACCGAGCCGGGACCTCCTTCGTGCCCCCCCCCACGTCTGGCTGGGTCCCCAGGGGAGCCCGCGCGCTCCTCCCCGGGGCGCCACTCCGCGGGAGCGCACCGCCGGCGCGAGCGGCAGGCGAGCCCAGCCCAGCCCCTGCGTGCGCGGAGGGGCGTGTGCGCCCAGGGCCCGTGCGCTGAAGTAGTTCACGGGGCGGGGGGAAGATGATGGATAAAAAGTTTCCAAAGTCAGAGCAGAAAGGGCTGGGGGGGGGGGGGGGAAGTTGGTCTCCCTCCACCCCCCGCTCCCTCCAGCGCCAGGGGAGCGGCGTGTCCTCCCCGCGCACCAGCTCCCTTCTCTGCCCCCGTCCCCTGCCCGCCGCGCTCCCCCCAGCGGAGCCCTCTCCAACTTGCACCGGCGCTGCGCCGGCTGGGGGGGCTGCTCCAGCGGCCAGCCCCAGAGGTGAAGGAGCCGCCGCCTCTCGCACTGCATCGGCTCTGATTTATGCAAACAGACCGGCGGCCAGCGCGCATCCCCCGCCAGCAGGCAGGGGGAGGGGGGCACGTGGAGGGGGAGGGAGAGAGGGCGGGATGGTGGAAGGAGTTAGGGGGCTGGGGGGGGGGGGGGGGAGGCAGGGAGAAAAGTGAAACAAAACAAGAAGGCGCCTGAAAAGTGGAGGGGGAAAGCCGAAAAGCCAAACTCACCCGCTGGAGACGGCCTGTCGGCGCCCACTACGGGCTCCCCCCAGCGCGGGTGAGTCTGCCTGCCCGTCCCTCCCTGCACTCCAGCCGGGCAAGCCCCATGCGCCGAGCCCGGGCAGCAGGCACAGCGTGCAACAGCCGCACAATCAATAACAATAGAGCCCTCCGCTCGGGACTAGCTTCCCGGGGAGCCCAGCGCCTGGCAGGGCCGGCCCGGCCCGCGGCTCCCCCCGCCGCTCCCGGGCTGGGCTCCAGGCGCCTTGCGCGGCCACTCCGGAGTTTGGCGACAGGGAGGAAGAAGGAGGCAAAGCGCGGCGGGGGGGGGGCGGGAGAAAGAACACCCCCGCGGAGGGAGATGTTGTTATTTTTTGCTGTTATGAGTCTCTGACGTCACATCCACCTGCTGGGTAAACAACAAGGCTCGGTGCAAAGGAAAAAAACACACACACACACACACACGCGGGGAGCGCTCGCAGTTGCAAAAGAGGGAGAGGAGCCGGGGGGCGCGGCGCGGCGCGGCCAGGAGAGAGGGGGGGAGAACCGGGGCGCAGGGCAGAGCCGCTCGGCTAAAGGGGGGAGACGGGGAAACAAGCGAGCTGGGGCCAAGGGGGCACGCCGGGGCGGGGGCTAGCCAGCTGTTGGCTGGGGCTCGTTCCCGTCCCGCGGCGAGGAGAGCCGGCGCGGGCCGGGGAGAGCCCGTCCGGAGCCAGCGCCGGGCAGCGAGCGTGCGAGCGCTTCGGAGGCAGCGCTGCAGCGAGCGGCTTCCCCCCTCTCTCGGTTCTTTCGGCGCCCGATCCAATGAAAGCAGGCGAGTTCGGGAGGTGAAAGTTCAGCAGAAGGACAAGCCCCAGTGTGCAAGGAAACGGGCGTGTGCCGCGAGCGAGTCTCGCCTTCCCCCGGGCACGGAGCTCGCTTACACGCGCGCTGGGGCTGGGGTGAGTGCGGGCAAGGCGCCGCTGGGAGAAAGTGCCGTACAGTCGCGAGTCGCTTGGTTTGGTTTGTTTTTCCCACCCCCCCTTCGCTGCTCCTTCTAGGAACAGGCTCGGAGTCTGGGGCGATGCGTTGTTTAACACAAGTTACCTGCTGTTGCAGAGATACCGGTCAGGAGGAAACTGCTGCGGGTAGTTTACATCCCGTGCTCTGGGGGAGGGGAGGGGATGAGATTTGTTAGTGTGTTGCAACCAGGCTTGAAGTTAAATCGCCTGTGAGAAATCCAATAAAGGAGGCAAGGGATGCTGAATAAATGCTGCATTATTTCTAAACTCTTAGCACTAAATTAACTCCCCTCCTTAAGAAAGGAAAAATAAAAAGGGCGTGGGGAATAGGATGGGTACCACTGAAGAGTTATATTACCAAGGCCATAGCAGTAGTGGCTAGTTAATAGTATGTTGGCATTTCTTTCGTGAAGCCAGTTTGGTTGCAGTTAGGTTAGGTTAGGTTGCAGTCTTGCCGCTCACAAACCTCTGTGTTTTTTAAACACTTTAACCCATAACAGGATCCAGGCCTTTCTTTAAAAAAAAAAATCAAATTTATAACCAGTTTGAAAAGTAATAATTTTGCCCTATCAATTATCATTCAGGGCCTTTTATGAGGCTCTCAAAGCACTTTGCAAAAAATAATTAAGCCTCCCAACATCCCTGTAAGGTAGGGGAAAATTACCCTGTTTTATAGATAGGTATGCGAGGCACAGAGAGGCCACATTAACAGTCTAAAATCACACAATGAGTCAGTGGTAAAGCTGGAAATAGAATCCAGAATTCCTGATCCACCAGTCCTATGGTGTAAGCACTCCCTCGCTACAGTGCTTAATATAAGGACTTACTTGCACAGCTCTATTGTTATTAAATAATATGTATAAAATAACCAATAAATATTTTTACCAGTGCCAGGCAGAGGAAAGGAGGCTATTAGTAAACCAAGAGCCCACTCCTACAAAGTGTTACATGAGATGCCCATACTCACATGAGAAGGCCCATTGGTGCATGACTTCAGACCTTACAGGATCTTGCCTTAGCAGCAGGACCCTCAGCCTGCATTCCATGTTTAGAACAAAATTCCCATTGATCTTGGTAGGTGTTTTGACTGAGGAATGACTGCAGGATTGGATCCTCAGTGTCCATCTAACTGATAATAGTAAAACTCATCACTTAAGCAGCTTCAGAGTAAAAATGTATTAAGTTAAAAAAAGCTGAATTTTTTAACTCTCTCTATTGTTCCAAGTGTTACTAATACTTAATAGTATCATGCCCAAGTACCATTTCGCTTATGTGGTATGAATCACACTGGCATAAATGAAGGGAGTTAAAACCTAGAACTGTAATTTTGCCATATTTATTCTACATCTGAGTGGCATTTCCTTTGTGGAGTTTAGTTGGACTCTTAGGACTACTGCTGTTCAGTTCAGTGATAGTTACTCCTATACAACCAACTGTTGTGTGTCTGACCTAGCATATGACACTGCAAAGAGGACAAGAGATTAACAAACTCCAAGCATGAAATGCTGGTCCCATTGTAATAAATTGTAATAAAATAAAGTTTTGCCAGTGACTTCAACAGGGCCAGGATTTTGCCGTAATTTGAAATGGAGGAACTGACAGGCCCTACCTACTGAGTGGTGGTAGCAGTCCCACTAGTTAAAATTATAAATGTAGAATTTTTCCTGCTAACCGCCCCCCCACAGTCTATCTTATACTTATTCTGTGTGAAGAATGCCCACTGGTGTCTGATGTTTGAGAGGGCTGCATATAGCACGCCCAGCAGAGATCAGCTGCGTAGATTGAAGATGAACATTTTACCTTTCCACTCTAAAATGTTCAGCTTGCCCCGTGAGCATATCTACAATAAGTGATGTATTGAAGCATCACACCCTTTCAGAAATAAAGATAATAGCCAGATTTATAAAAGAAGGTGCTTAAAGCTAGATTTCTACATTTATATTTAGGTATCTAAATCAGTGGCCTGGTGATTTCAGAGGTGCTGAGGACCCAGAAACATCCAGTGTAATAGTGTGACATCAATTCTGCAGCATTCTGTAAGGAACAATTTAGATGGCAATTTGATTCTAGGAATTATTGAGCAACATACTTGGTTAGCAGAAACTATTTCCTTTCAACTAAGTGGGAACTGTTAATAATCTCGTTTTTTCCATTCCTTTGCTTTTTGGTAATTGCACTCACCTCATATTTGAGTTTTAGAAACAAGGTTCTCACTAAAGAGGGGGAGCTTATTTTCAATGTTGCTCTATATGATTTTGTATATTTCAGTGTCTAGTCAGCTGAAGTGGTGAAAATCTGCATGTCCATTTACTATATGTTAGTGGGGAACTTAACTGCTTCTTACCATATTGTTCATTTTCAACACTGTCACGTTGCATTCATATAGAGCACATTTTAATTTCTTGATCAGTAATCAAGTGGAAGTTTCTTCTTGGCAAATTAAAGCAGGAAGATTTTCACACAAAAGAAAGGGCATGGTAGTAGGACGCCACCTTTTGGCAGAAAAGTAAATTCTGTAGAAGCATATTCCGAAGATGCTTCTGATGTGCAATTACACTTTAAATTACACTAATGGCAAAGTACTTATGCCTAATTCATTATATTTTAAATAATTAAGAGGAAAATCATTGCAAATAAATATTTGCAAAGACAAAGATGGTTTAGCTGTACTTTAAGAGTAATCTTCAAAGAGAGTAAGTACATAATTTCATTATGTCATTGTATTACTGAATAGACTCAATTATCAAAAAGCAGCAACAAAATACTAACCTTCACAATCTACCCCACCCACTTGACATACCGTGGAATATGTTATAGATGTGTGTGACTGGAAGAGGCAGGTTACATTTTTAAATATAATTAGAGTCTTTTTCACCTTTTTTCTATTTTACTTCATTGTTTTCTGATAGGAAACTACAGCAGGAGAAAATATATAGTGCAATTCTTAGACGATAGCTTGCACATCGATAGAAGCTATTTTTTCTCTTACTGAAGTGCTTTAGAGGTATTTGTTATACATTTAAACCCAGAATAAACTTTGTTTATTGTAAACTTCTTGGCTCTTGTTTTTAACTATGCAAATTTTAAATCAGTATATTAACTCTATAAAATGTGATTAATTCCATAGACAATAAGAGCAGTGGGACTTTTCCCTCCCCCTCCACCAAGGCAGGCTGCTAATTGCACTTGAATTGTTTACTGCTGTATTGTTTTACAAGTGCCTGGAAAAAGAGATGTTTGATATTCCCACCACCACCATCATTATCCCAGGAGCAAATGCTTGGCAGATTTTGGTAAGGGTGTACACACGCTATGACTACAGCTTGTTAGTAAAAAAGAAAAAAAATATGGAGGTGATGATGCATCTGTAATTATAGGTGTTACTGTTTTAAAGTCAGTGTTTTCCAAGCTGCTACAGTGCCACACCTCCAGCATCCCATGAGCAATGCCTCTTCAAATCCTTTCCATTTTAGTCACTGGTTTATGAGGATATACAGAATACATCAACAAGGCTATGTTGCACACAATGAGAAATGAACAGGAAATAAGTTAAGGCTTCCTTGCTTTTTACTTAGACGCAAAGCACAAATGGACACCATGATATTATTGTCTCTGTCTAGAGAGTATGAAAAGAATTGCAATATGGTACCTCAAAAAAAAAAAAAAAGCACATTGACAAATGAACATAAGAACGGCCATACCGGGTCAGACCAAAGGTCCATCCAGCCCAGTAACCAGTCTACTGACAGTGGCCAATGCCAGGTGCCCCAGAGGGAGTGAACCTAACAGGTAATGCTCAAGTGATCTCTTCCTGCCATCCATCTCCACCCTCTGACAAACAGAGGCTAGGGACACCATTCCTTACCTACCCTGGCTAACAGCCATTAATGGACTTAACCTCCATGAATTTGTCCAGTTCTCTTTTAAACCCTGTTATAGTCCTAGCCTTCACAACCTCCTCAGGCAAGGAGTTCCACAGGTTGACTGTGCACGGTGTGAAGAAGGACTTCCTTTTATTTGTTTTAAACCTGCTGCCCATTAATTTCATTTGGTGGTCCCTAGTTCTTATATTATGGGAACAAGTAACTAACTTTTCCTTATTCACTTTCTCCACACCACTCATGATTTTATATACCTCTATCATATCCCCCCCTTAGTCTCCTCTTTTCCAAGCTGAAATTTGTTGGTTTTGCAGCTTGTCTTATATTTTGTGGTTGTTTAAATCAATCATGCCACCATTCTAAGGAGGCATAATTAGAGAACCTATGAGTAATCATGTCCATTAATTCACAAGAAGATTTCTGCTGCAAAGAAAGTTTGATGTTGGCAATCTCTTCAATTCTAAGTATAAAAACAAGAGAATGTGAAGAAAGTCAGATCCTTATGACAATAGATATTGTTCAAAAAGACAGAAGATGCAATCTTGCCTATCAGGCTGTGTTTATTAGAGAAGGTAAATAAGGCCAGTCATTTCTTTGGCCCAGCTAATTTTGGGATGTGAAGGCTCGGCTTTATGATCCAAGTGGTGATAAGTTTTACAAAGGCATAAAGACCCACAGTAAGGGCCTGATCCTGTCCCCAATAAAGCCATTGGCAACATCCCGATTGACTTCAATGGGGGCAATATTCATTTTAATATGGGGAAGCAGGTTGGGGTGGGGACATATTGTCACTTCGCCAGGATCTCAAGCTGGCTTGTCTGACAATAAAATATAGTTGTCATCAATGAGAGGTGTAGCCAAAGCGAGATCATTTTAAAAATTAAGTTATGGTTTATGTCCTTCCCTCACAAGAAAGCTGCTGACATAAAACTAACGTGTACGTAAAAATCCTGGGCCACGTTTTTCAGAGGCGCAGAGGACCCAGCATCTGCCCTTGTTTTCAGATTCTGTCTAGCCCATTGTTCTCAGTGGGAGCGGAGCACTTTTAAAAGTCTATCCCCTTGTCTGCATTGAAGGCCTGATCCTGAAAGCCATTGAGCAGCCTCACTTCACAACAAAGTTAATGGGAAATGCTTAGCACCTGGCCCAATCAGGCTCCAATTTACCAGCATATACTAACTGCAGCTGAATATTAGCCCCCTGCACTCTCCTTGCAACCTATGGGACTCCTAGCTGAG